TGAGGAACTGCAGTGGAAAAACAGAACTGCTTGTGACAAAGTGACAGCTGAGGGGGACACTGGAGGCAGAGGACTATGGAGACAGAATAAGGACACCTTAATTGAAGTTCCTGGAAAAGAAGCTTCCCTTGCACCTTTACTGATTCTGAAATGTTGTCCTGCATTCATTATGGAAATGTGCAATTTACGGGGAAAAGACTGACTCAATCCCATGGCATTCAGATGGCTGACCACATCTCAGGTCTTATTGCAGGTGATCCAAGAGTTTTACCTTCAGGGTATCAAGGTAACCTTTTTTTCTTGCAGGGAACATAGCCAAGATCTAAAAGGCATCAACCTTAATGCAGATCTATTTTTTTAATATTTACTTTATTGGATAGAAAGAGTTCCTTTTATCAATCCAGGAAAACCTGAAGTATTTATTTTAGAAGTTTGCAAATCTGTTCTCATTTAGTTTTGCCTTATCAAAGAAAGGAATTAAGAGATTATCAGAAGTCACTAACTCATTTTACTATTAAGAATATAATTTATTCAAGAAAAATTATGCCATAAAACTAATTTGATAATCAATGACCCTTTCTTCCCTGGAAGTATTAGTATCATTACTACAGAGAAAATTTTCACCTTTTGTTGGGATCATCATTTTACTACAAAAATATTAATTTGTCAAGTGGGAGAGAAAGCTGTTTATAACTCACAATGTAGTAAGACTCAAGTCTGGAGAACCCTCTATGTCATGGTCTTGACCTATTTTGTGACTGGAGAGTAGGATCATCCATCAAAGGAGAACATATAGAACACAACTGCCAAACAAACAAACCTCAGGCATTTATATGTAGCCATCCATTGCACCATCTCTGTGACACTGTTGATGCCTGAATGCAATTTTATGATTAAAAACAAACTAAAAAACAAACTGAATGACAGTTATGAATAAATCAAAACTTCAGCATGCTTAGTTCTTACAGATGTGTGCCTCAGACCCATTCAAGAGAACTTTTCTGCTTCCTGAAAAACTGAGCTGTCGTGCTCAAGGCTAGGTTTCTATCATAGTACAGAACAAAAGGCCACTCAAGCAGCTCTTGCTGATATTTGCAGTGTCAATGTGCTGGTGCACTCACACCCTTGGTAGCATTGTGCCAAGTATATAGAATATATTATATATAATAGAATATTCAAAAATATCTGAACAGCAAAACAGGGAAAAACTGTCAAGTGATGACAAGAATTTTGTTCAATAAACTGCTCCATAATCTTTTTTGTACTTTTTTTTCCTTTTTGCATAACTGCTGATTGATTTTTACAAAAAAAAAATAAACAAAAAACCAGGACCTATTTCTATTTGTTAAAGCATATATCTCACTTACTCTTCCTTATAAAATATCAGCTCTCTTCTACAATGCTAAGAATTGTTCCTGCTTACACAAAGAGCTCACAAAACTCTTCTGAGCTGTAGTATTTCTTTAAAGAAATAAAAGACCTATTTAAACTGTTAACTTTTATGTTCTTTCAAAAGTTACAACAGACATCAAATTTAAAAGTACTTTATGTTATCCCTAGACTTCTAATGGGGCAACTTCAGGTTTTATATAATTAAATTTAATACTGCAAAATGAAGCTTGTCAATCCACATTGCCATATTGAATTTTTTAATAGTCATTCTCCAAATAAAGAAATATACCACACCATAAAAACAAAAAATAAAATTTTCTTATGGCTATAATGATGATAATAGCTTATGGTTTAGATCATATCATCAAAGAAGCTAGTAAAATTGGACAGCTCCTCCAATCTCAAGCAACACAGCTTTTATGTTTTTTATTGATTTAAAGTTTAAATACAATAAAATGAAAGAAGTGTACTAAAAATTAATATAAGATAATGAAAACAGGGGCCAACACATTAATAAAAACTATACCTAAATGACAGTTTGGACTTCTCATAAATGATGGTGTTAAGAGCTATATTATTGGAAAGTAAAAGGTATAAAGCTGCTACGTAAATCCTGACAGAGCAGACAGATGGTTTAAAAAAAAATTTCCAAGTTTTATCTCACACATAAAACCAATTTTTACCGATGAAGTATGGTCCTGGAACCAGCAAACCTCTCAGCCTCTGGAAACTCAAAAGCTAAAGAGTTCTTGTCCTGTGGAAAAGAATTTCAGATGTCCATTCTCCATACCATTGCAATTCATTCTCAAAAACTAAAAACAAAATTTAAAAAACTCTCCCAGCTCAAGGTGAAATCTCAAACCTTGAGAGTAATCCAGGTAAAGAGATTTTCTCTAAGCAGAGCAGGCATGAATCTTCACCTCTGGGAATACAGAAAGTCTGATTTGTAGTTTTTCCTACATTCACAAAACAAAACAAATTCTGAATACACTAACAAAAAGTATTCAGGACATCATAGATATTTCACCTGTACTGAGCATACTACTCATCTCACATGAACTTCAAAGATGATGCTTAATCTAAGCTAATTGTCCAGGCACTTTCTGTAGGCAGTAGGACAAAGAGATATCTCCACACAGCAATTCAGCCTACTCTGTATAAATGTCTATCAGCAGCATGGAATTAACACAGATTCCCTTTTTACCATGGGGATATATAAATTAGATGACATATCTAATTTATTAGAGAGATAAAGTGCAATGAATCCTACAGGTTAACTGGTTGCAATGACACAACTTTTGACAACTTTGATTTAAAGTGCTGAAAGTGCGTTCATGGAGAGATGCAAAAATAATCCACAACCACTATAAAAGATAATACTGAGTAAACACCTTCTACAACAGTGGATTGAAAGTCAGTGACAGAATCCATCAGTTCAATGGATGAACTGATGTTCCTCCTCCAGTGCTCTTATCACTGACAGCCCATGTAACACATAAGCAGCTCTGATACTAATTGTTTGCCTTCTCACTTTTCCAAATCAGAAAGCAGGAGGAATATTTACACCTCTATTGAATCTTAAACTCTACAGGTATGCAGAGTAAACAGGTTCCACATCCATTTTCCCCATCTAACTTCCTGTAAAGTCATTTAAAATGAAACCTTGAAAAATTCTACTTTCTAGTAGAGCAAGAGGCGCTATTTCCAGTCAAGAAGATAAAAGGAACAAGAATAAATGTACAGTAACAAACCCATTTTGCTAATGAAACAATTTGTGTTAGTTCCTTATTAAAATATCTAGTGCTTTTATATTATTATGCTTTGAAAAGATTTCTGAAAATCAATTAATTTGTCACTGGAAAGTAATGTCGCTGTCCTGCTCTTGTTCCTGATAATACCCACTATTTATTTGTAAGCTCTTATGCTATTTCCTGAAGAGGTTTAATTAATTGCCTGAGTCTCTTCAGCAGAAAAGCTCTTCTTTCTTAATTTTTCCCCCTTTTTAGAGAATGACTTTCAAATAACACTTTATTTCAATTGCAAATGAGTTCAAACTTACTGGACCTTTAAAGAATTCATAAATCTGAGTGTGCCTCAGTGAGGTTCATCTTGAATCTATGCACTGAAGAGAGCTTTGCTGCAAGATTTCAAGGTATGTCAGGACTCTTTTTCTGCCCTGACATTTTGAATGGGCTGTACCCCTAGCAGGTATCTTTGCAACCCAACACCTTTTCTTTTGTGTTTTCTAGCATACAGCACTAACCAAGTCCAGTATGCTCCACAAAGAACTGGCTGGCAATTAGACCAGCAGGTGCTCAATTACAACAATGCTACCCTGAACTTCCTACTTCATGCATTCAAAAGAGGGATATGGTCGCATTTATGCAATCAGTTATGTATCAAACTGTTTGCAAGTACACAAAATGTACTGGCTTTGCACTAAAATCTTCTATTTGTTCACTGCAAGCAGAAAATGTACACACACATTTATGGTTCAAGTAGTTGATTTCCCATACCTGAAGCTCCTGAAATATTTCATAAATGTCTGATTATTAAAAGAGAGCTTTGAACTGGTTTAAAAAAATTGGATGAGGACTATTATATGAATGCCCATAAGTGTCCATGTGTTGGTGTGGTGCTGACAAAGCTAAAAAAACCCCAACCTGCTTTTGTTCAGAGATTGTTTTTCTCTCTTTCATAGCAAACATATATCCATTATGAATTCATGAGTTACATATGATGAAAAGCAAAGACCTTTCACAGCTGCTCCTAAGCCCATGTCCTAAGCTACCACAGTAGATGCTCTTAGTGGAGAAATCAGCTTATCATTCAAATACTTAAAGGGTGGTGTGGAAAAAGGAACGTTAAGTAAGAGAGATTACAAATAGATTGAAAGATAAAGATATTTTATTATTATATTTTATTTCTGTTATTGCAATATTCCCATTCAGTAAACACAATGGGAATACAAACAGCTCTTAAGGAGGAGAGATGTTTAGATTTAGTTTAAAACTCAGTCAAGTTATTGCAGCAAATGTTGCTGTGTATGTTCTTAACAGCCTAAGATGATTAAATTTAACATAGCCTATGGTGAAAGCTACAGCACAGGAAATAAAAACTACTTAGTATATCTAATAAGTTTTCTATGGATAATTGAAATATAATTATGTTTATTTTTTGTCATTGATATATTTGGATGGGAAAGAAATGTACAGAATTGCACTTTTGAGCAACTCTGTCATAAACCATCTCAGTTATATGTCACAGCCTGCCTTAGAAAGAGGACTGTTCTGCATAGGAAACAAACACTGCATGAACCAGGTGTCTGTCAGTTCTCTTACCATGCAATGTGGTTTTCCAGGCTTCCCCAGAAAGCAGTAAGTCCTTGCTAAGTTTCTCCATTATTTTACATACATTCTTCACAGAAGCATACTACTTAGTAAAGATTTAAGTTAGCAACTTAAGCCCTCAGGAACACCTGAAACTTTGAGAACACACATATTTTAAAATCAGTTCCAAGAACTTCCACCCTTTTCTGCAGAGTTCTTGGTGCTCTCCTCTCCCCATGGGGCTGACAGGGAAGGAGCTATTACTGGCAAGTCACTCACCAGGCTTCAATGTCACACCACAGCACCTCATGCAGCTGCAAACGTTCCTGTTTTCTTCCTTAGATGTTGTGTGCTTGTAGATAAAAAATGAGAGATTTATTCCATGTTCAAAATTACAGCCAAATACAAAGTATATAAAAACAACTGAAACATAAAACTTTATAAATTGGTAATTCATTTGTGGTGACCAATTTTGCCAGAATATCTTCACCAAAATCCTATGGGTCTATTTATAGAAGATATTTTTCTTCAGAATTACTTTCCAGTATGAGTCAAACCAAACTGACAAACATCCTACCTGTCCACATGCTTGTCAGATACATTGACCCTCCTAGATAGGGTGAAGCAACTGCAGTTGGACTTCTTGCCAGGTTTCTTTCTTTTTTTTTTTTTTAATGCTGAAATTTATGACAATTTAGTAATAAATCACATCCTATATCACACTGAAATCATGTAGCTATCCCAAATCTCTCCTTATTTTATGGAGTACACTGACTATAGCTGAAAAATTTCACCTGAAAGCAGGAGTTTATGCTGTGGTGTTGATACAGTTGTCACTTCAACCACAGATGAATTATGGAGTTTTGTCAGTGGAATGCTCATTTCTAGTTGAGAATGTACCGATTGCTCTCAATATTTTATTCTCTCCATCTATGTTATTTAATAGAAACTTACTTTTTGTGTTTGTCTGTCTTTGTAATTCTTGTCTTTTGAATTGTATAAGAATTATGAATTCTATTAACGAAACGTCTAAGCTCTTTTACAATATCAGCAGGCCAAGAGCTATCTATCATCTATCTACATTCTTTTTGAATGGAGGGGGAAGAAATATCAGCATCTCTGGAATGTAGCTGAAATGCAAAGAACTGCTGTAAAGCTTAGAACTGTAAGGCTTAGGTGAGTCTCTACATGTGATGTAAAGACACAGGTATGGATCTGAGACAAGGTCAATTTTCAGTTTCATTTTGGTTTCAGATCATTTGCTCTTGGGAGGATATAATTTAGTGTCCTCTAGGTCTATAATTTTCCTCTTCGCTTCTTCTCCCTTTCTTGATTCACTTTCCCAGTAACTTTTGCAAATTTCTTTTGCAGAGGTGACAGTGTAGATCTGTAGCTGTTGCAAATATTTGGTAGTAATTTATATCAGCCTAGTATCTAGTCCAAAATATTGTAAGCAATAGAACTTGGAATACTCTAAATAGCAATGTAAAACAGAGCAGTTTGGGTTAAAATAATAATTGAGGATCCTTTGAGATTCTCAGTCAAAATCTACTCCATATCCAGATCTAGAGCAATCCTATCCCTGATAAAGGAGTAGGTTTGTCTTTTACCAATGCACATTCAAATAACATTCTTATTAAATTCCAGTCTCATGCAATTTATTTATTTATGCTTTGCAGGAGGTAAATTTGATGTTCTCTCTCTCGTATTTTTTAAGAAATATATAACTAATAAAATCTGTATTAATATACTCTATTAAGAAAGTTCTCTCTAGAGCCCTTTGTGAAATTTTATTTAGTATATTCCAGGTTAACTCAGCTGTCTCAGAGATATCATTTTGGGGGGTTTTAGCTATCTTAATTTTGGAAGCCAAATGGCTTGTGCTTTGTGCTTTCTTTGGCTATTAGATGGCTTTCTTTGTGCTAATAGCACAAAGAAAAAAACCCAAAACCTGATGCAAACAACAAAACAGTTTCTTACCTTACTGCATGGTTCATTCTTCTTTATTTGTTCTTCTTTTTCTTGTCACTAAATAAAAAGGAAAACATTCTTGTAAATTAATTTTTCAAATATTCCTACAACTCAAGAATGAACAAAAACCTGAAAAAAACCTGTATCTAATGCTGACACTTTCATGCAGAAGTCATCTTGCATATGTATGCACATACTGAAAGAACTACAGGGATTGCTCCATGTGACAGGGGACAATTGGCAGGTTATACTTTATTCCAAAGCCCATTTATTTCTTTGTAACTTTTAAAATACTGCCTCTAATTTTAAAATCTTCATAATGCTTCTTCCCTTCCAGAGAAGGAAGAAATCTCAAGAATTTCACCAATTTCTCCGTGGTTTGATTTTTTGTTTGGGGTTGTTGTCATTATTATTATTGCTGTTGTTATTTTCTTGCTCTTGTCTCCCTGTCTGAGACTCTGACTTTGAAGCACCCCTAAGTCTGCTCCACCAATACCCACACTGAAGGATCTCAGGGAAGGAAATCTTACATAGCAGACAGCAAAAATGAACAAAGGTCTCTAAACCATCCTTTCCACAGACTTTCACCTCAATTGACTGTGCATATCTGTAACTCTAAAAGGTGGAGTATCTCCACTTCCTGCACCTGGAGGTTACTGAATGTGCTCCCCATCATGCAACAAGCACAAAACATTTCAGGCATTAAAACATCCTCTGTGTCCACAGTTACCCACAAAAATACAATGTAGCAGAGATACCATGAATTTACACTGCTTGGGTCCGCATTTGAGACATAACTGGTTTATTTTCAGTTGCATGTGCTTGTGCCATATCTGTCAGCATTCATACCTCTAAAAACTCTCAGCCTAGCAGGCAGCTCTTCACAGGCTCCACCAAAGCCTGGCTTTCTGTCTACTGCTGTCTGACACAAACAAGTCTTGAGTGAAACATGTTGGGGGTGTATTTCTATAAACTAGGTATGACATATGTTCCTGCCAGAAAGATACCACTAGTATAAGCAGATCATTTATTCTTCTGCATCCATAGAAAACTAGCTACTCTATCTCATATGTGTCATTCTCCCACAAGGCAAGGCATTTATTTCTGAGACATTCACCTCAAATATTTTGGAATTCTCCATTCACCACTTCTCAGTTTTTTTGCAAGGTTGCACAATTTGCATCAAAGATGTATAGCATGAAACAATAATTTACTGAATAAAAAAAAAAGATGCTCCTGTGATCCCAGAAACAGCAGAATTTAAAGAGAGGTAGGAAGCTGGTCAATATTCTTGCTGTGGTCTCCAAAGACACTGAGCTGACCACTATAAGAACAAGAATGAGCTTGAAATTTATTTGTAAAGTATAGATACAAGTGAAAAGGGTAAAAGGTTTTAGTATTATGAAAGAAGGAAAGATGCAGAGAGACTAAAAAAACTCTCCTAAACTATGTATTTTCTCTAAAATTCTCACAGAGTAATATTATTTTTAATCTTGCCATAGTAAATTATTAAAATAGAATTTTATAGAAGCTATAACTCAGATTAAGTCAAAAGATGAGCATCTTTATTTGATTTTCCTTCCACCTTTTACTCCTCTCTGAACCTCTCTGTTTGAATAAAAATGAACACAAAGTCCTATTCATCTCTCATTCTCTTTATGCAAAACCTTACCTGAATTGGTAGGGCTTTACAAAGTACAAACCTAGACTCCTACATCGAACTATAGCAGTTTCACTTCACTTAAAATGGATGGAGTGAGAAACTTTCACAGCTCAGTTATTTGCCAACATCTGGGTTGCAATGAGCCTTTACACTGGACGTTAATTAAGCCTGTGTGAGATGGAAGAGGTGTCCCTTTACTGAAGGAGAGGGACACTGCACTGCAGGCATTTTGCAAAAGCAGCAGCACAACACCACTTGAATTCCTCCCACAGGCCGGGTGTTTTGGACAGACCAGCCTGCCACAATGTGCTAGTGAAGGATGCTCTCAAGGGGGTACTTGAGGCCATTGTTGAACTTGCAGAGCAAAAAAAGAACTGTGCATCGTTTAAGGTTGGTACTGAGATAAATAAAGAACTCAGAATAATCTTTTTAGCAAAATCCTCACACCAGAAGCCAGACTGACTTAATGGGCTCAATTTATTTCGAGCATTCTTATAAACTGCCATGAATATTAAATGGCAATGAACATTTACCATTAAACCTGCAGAAACTAGTATTTGCTTTGAACCCAGGAATGTTAACCACCATCATACTAATGTAGTCTTTTTGACCTAGTAAGTGATTTTCCATGTTCTTTGGAAACAAAATAACACATTATGCTTACAGTCTCCTAAAGCTGACCATGTCTTAATGTATTTCTGTACTAATTATAGACATTTTCAATGTTAAACAAACTATTGGATTAAAAATTAGCCATTCCAGGGAGAAGTAAGGAAATCAAAACAAATTGACAATAATGGATATTTTAACTTTTTTCTGCTCCAAAAGCAATTAAAAAAAAGAGATAATGTTAGTGACTTCTGTCTTTCTCATTCTGCTTTACATTAACTTGTTTCAATTTCATTAATGGAAGATAAAACTTCAAGTTTTGTTTACACATGAGCAAACAGTAATGCTGAACTTCATACCAGAAAAGGCAATATGATTGTGAAGGACATTCCCTCACAAATTGGAGCTATCAGATATTTGAGAGCAAGAGGCACAACCTTCTTATGAAGCAATAAACTCCTCCATCTGAAAAGAACACATTTAAGGCACTTCAAACCTAAAACATAACTATTAGCACCAAGAATAATAGTCATCAAGAGGAACTCATTGACCAAAATATTTAAAAGTCCTTTTGCATGGATCTGTGCCTCTGCATATATAGTTACATATAGAAAAACACACACATCAAGATTTTTTCCCAATTTTCCATAAAGAGATATATATATAATACACTTATGCATGTTCATAGATGAGAATTAAAATGTATTCAGCTTGCTACAGAATCGCCAGTTTTTAAAGTGCTTGTCAATACATAACTGCTTTGCAAGGACCACATACACTAATCCCACCACTGAAAACAATAAATGTGTTCTTGCAGCTAAAATTGCTTAGTATTGTGGTTTGGGGACAGATTGCATTATTTACTTCCCTTGATGCTGCACTTATCTGGCTCATACAGAAAGCACATAGGCTAAACATTAAAATCCTGGAGATCCCAAATGAGATACCTAAGTACATTTGTGTGCCTTCAAAGCCCTGGTTTAGTCATTCACTTTCCACACTTTTCCCAGTGGTTAGGTGTGCATGGTTAGCTTCCTTTCAAAACATGTTTTTGTGGAAAGAAAATGACTTCCTTAGTTGTTGGCATTACCACTGCTACAATAAAAGGAGTAATTCACACTTTCTAGATCTTAAAACTAACATCTTACAATGTATATCCCATGATTAATGATTCATCTCATGGTGACTTCTCTGCCCACACACGTGCCTCTAAGGTAGGAACCTTTACCCACTGAACTCTCAGCTCTGCTCATTTGCAATTTTGTTGCCACTGAAGTGAATCACCTTCTAAATTGGCATCCAAGGTACAATTGAAGTTTCCTGTCTGCTGCCTGTATAAGATCCTGGGAGTCGTATACAGAATCCAGAAAACTGGGCAGCAGAACAGGTGAAACTTCTGGAAGCTGAAAATGACCAGAAGATTTATAATTATATTTTTGTTTGCTGCTGTTTTAAGTACATTATATGAATTTACATAATATTTTCTCAGAAATGCAAGAAGACAGGATGTGATGGGCAAAGTTTGGCTATGTGATAATAAAATGTCATCTGTCATCTATGTGACAAGTCTTCATTCCATGCAGAAGGAATTTTATTCCTTCTCATATTGTCCATTTTTAAAGCCATTATCACACACATAAACACACAAACAAACTCCTCATTTTTTGCAAATATCATTTAATTTAGTGTAATACTTCCTGTATGGAAAATAGGAACAAGGAACCCAGGGAAAGAATACTGACTTAGGTAACTAACCCCAAGAACAAACACAGGACAAAGACATGTGGCTTTTACTATGAAATTAATTCAATGTCCTCGGTCTGTTCGAAATAGGTTCATTAAACCACCTTTGTGTGAGCTCTTTAGAAAATGGCATGGGACACCATGCCATCAACTTGACAGATGTTATGGAGAATAGATGTTTTCCATGTATATTATTTTAATACTGTAAAATTAAGGAAAAAAAAAAAGAAAGGAAATGTGTATAGTGAAAGAAAGTACACAAAAACATCTAGACATGAAAAAAGTAATTTTAAGTTAAAGCACGAAGACATCCACGGAGGCAGGTGTATCAAGAGAGCAGAGTGAAAACAGCCAGAATGTATCTCCTTCTTACCATTAGCCTTTTGCCCTCCTCTCTTTCCCAGCCTTCAATATTCCATTTACAGGGAATCAAGGAGAAGCTGAGTGTAGTATATCTAGAAGAAAAAGTGAGACAATTATTCAGTATTCAGAGAACAGAATATATGTGAGAGACCTGGGTGACCAGACCTCCAACTGCTAACCCCAAGAACTGCAATCTCAGTGAAATATGAAAAGGCATAGAGAAAAAAAAAAAAAAACCTACTAAAATTGTTTTACTTGCAACCTTTTGTTTCAAACCCTTTATCTTCATGTAAGCAAAAAAATCTGAATGTTTTATTGTTCGACCTGTCTCTTGCCAGCAGATGTGGTGAAATCAGCAGACTTTTGGATGTGTTGTCCCCTTGGCAGCAGGGGCTGAGCACAAAGTGCTATGGGCAGAGAGACTGAGCTGTGCTCCAGGATGAGCTAAGGGTACACCCTGCTAAGCTGTGAGGGAAGTGTTAGTTCTTGTGCTTCCTAGGAGAGCACTCAGACATGATGCATGAATACGAGTTCTTGCCTAGCAGGGGAAGACACCAAAGGTCTGGGTAAGAATTTGCACCAAGCTCTTAAAATGGCATTGAAAGTCAGCTGTGAGCCAGTGCAGAAAACAATACTGATTGCATCAGGACGTGTTGGCAAGAGTGAATTTAGGCTTTTCAGAAACTTGCACTGCACTTACGTGGATATGCATTTGTAATTACTTCTAGAATTCATCTTTTGGGAACTAGTTCAATATTTGCAGTTTATCTTCAACATTATTTTCTGATATAGGGTCAGTAAAATTCTGATCTTTTAATCCATTCTGAGGAGAGAAACAAGGGAAATGAATCCTCCAAGTCTCTACAAGTCTACACATATAGAAACTTATGTACTTTTTACATCTTCCCCTGGCACCGAGCTTTTATTTTTAATGTATTCATTATGATCTGACTTTACAGTTACATTTATGTAATTACTGAATAAAGATAGCAAAGAGGTCCCTGGACTGGTCTGGGTGATTCCATTTCATGTCATCTCAAGGAGAAAATTTTACTCAGGATTTCTTGCCAGCGAGAACAAATTCAATTCAGCATTTTACAAAATACCATCAATAGCAAATAATCGGCCTATGAGGAGGCAAGCAGCTAGCTCTGACACTTCAGCTTGCACTTCCAGCTTACTTCAGCTGAGGCTTTTTTCTTTTCCATACCCACCACCCATCAGAGACATCATTCATTGCAAATGCAACACTGGTTATTTGTTCCTTCCCATAGTGAACTGACTCAAAATATCAAAGTGTACTTTCCATGTCAATTATTTTAAGTGTTTGTCTTTGATTTGTAAGGCTGCACTAGAAGTACAGAGTTGTCACTGGTTGACATGGACAGGGTTAATGCTGCCTGCCAGGGTCCCTATGTCCATTTATATAATGCAGAGAGGTGCCCCCTGGGCCTGTCTCGAGTTCTCAGCAAAGGCCAGCTACCAGCTGCAACCTTCACTTACTCATGTTTGGAGAATTGTTTAGAATTATATCCCATAAGAGTAAAGAATTCTGTTTAGCATTAACTCTTTCTAGAGACCACACACTATCGATAATTATGGAAATAGTAATGCCAGAAACTAACCACGCTTCCTCAGATTCAGGGGATCCCATCACATGAAGCTACAGAATTTGCCCATAAACTGAAGACTAACCTAAGATACTTTTTCAATAGCTGGGTTTTGGCTTTATAGAAGAGATAGAGATATACATAAAGAATCCTAAGACATGCAAAGTCAGAAAAAATAAACTTTTTAAAATGTATGCTAATAATACACTACAGAACATAGAGTTTATATAGATGGCATGACTGCCAGTCCCAAAAAGTTCATACTGTCCAATGAACATAGACATTATTGGAGCTCCTACTAGTGCAGTACACTACACAAATATGATGAAACTTTTACAAATTAATCAAAGGTGAACACAAGTAATTATCCTTGTAAGTCACACATTCAATTGTTTTTATAAGAATTAGTAAAAAACATGACTTGACACAATTTAAAAGTTAGATTCACATGACTATCTAAGTGCCTGATCCAAGTTTTAGTAAAGGTATACGAAACTCTCAGAGGGAGGTTTACTTCTAAAGCATGGAGCTCAACTTTAGCTGAAAGACCACAACAGTGCACAGAACCAGATTCAGAGTATCTACAAGTCAGTGAAATATTTCCTGATGATTTATTGAGCTGTAGTCTTGATACAGACGAGGATGTCACCTTGGATATGGAGATTTTCTTATGAGAAAAAGAGACTTTTCAATAAACACAAGACCAGCACCAGTTTGGGGATCCTGCCTGGGGCTACCGAGGCACCTCCTGATTCTGCACTGGTCCCTTCTCTGATGGAGAAGGAGGCACATCTCTCCTCTCTCTGCCTTGTTTCTTTGCATTTTTGTCATAGATCTGGAGAAAGGAAGTCATTCTTGCTGCCAGGAGGATACTGAGCTGCGAACCTGCAGGAGCCTTCACTTGAGCAAATAGGAAATGGGAAGGCAAACCAAAGCAAAGCCAGTATGCAAAATTCACACAGCAATCAAGTGTAAAAGAGGTTAAGCATATGTTTATATGTGTATACATGCACAATACTGAAGACTTTTGTCAGCTGACATTATTCAGCTCTTTCTTCCCATATCTGATTTGGTAGCTGAGTCCTGGGAGGAAAGTTCATTCCCCATCCCATAGCATGGTACATCTCACTGCAGAGCTGTGTGCAGCCCTCCCTCCCTCCCAGGCCAGCTTTGGTATGCACACACCATCTGGAGCTGCTCTCAGCCAGCTCAGGGCTCCCTCTGAGCAACGCGGAGTCAGGAGCACCACCGTGTGGCATCTGGGAAATAGGAATTAGAAGTGGCTGCAACCCAAACACAGCAACTGCAGGGACACATAATGCTGGTGAGGCTAAATTAGTAAGAAAAGGACCAAATTTTTTTTTAGGTAACTGCACCTACAAACCAACAAATATGCGGTAATGCAGGAAGCCAGCTAGCAGGTGATACAGTGTGTAGCAGGTGTAGGTGTGGAACCAAGGGGGAAAGATATGGTATGGGTTTTTTGGTCTCTTTTAAAACAAATATTTTTTTAATCATCTGCAGATAACGATTTAGTTCACAATGTTTACATTTTGTAAAACATTTACCAAAGTACTGCTAAATTTGGCTTTCAAAGCTTCCATGACAAAATACGGTTTGTCACAAGAGCACAGCACATTGTCGTCTGGAGGTAACTGCTCATTCCTGGGATATGCTGGATAAGGTACCAGTGCCAGATGAGCCTTGTGTGTACAGGTGCTTAAGGAAAGCTATAACATATAACACTGGTTTTCCACTTGCAGGAATAAGCCCATCCTTTCAAACTGAATGACTTTTGATTTTGATTAACAGCAAAAAAAGGGAAATGGAAAACTGAGCCACAGCTAAACCTTTGTATCCAAAAGGACAGCACTGGAATGATCCATAAGATGCTGTGCTGCTGCAAAACAGCCACTTTTGATAAAACACAGTTAAGACAGCCTTAGGAAGGCAGGGAAAATATTGTGTGAATTAAGCTTACTTAGCCAGATACAACATAGCTGTGTAACAACAACTTTACTTTGAATTTCTGATCCTTCTTCTCTACCTTCTCCATCTCTGTCCCCTCCAAAATTGTGAAGATGATACAGTGTGTTTCTCTGGCTAATTTGCTTTTCTGACTTTTTTTGCTATACTTCTACTCTCCTCTGGGTAAAAGGTGTTGTATGTGTCCTACAGATCTTTTTTTATAAAGTGACACAATTTAGACAGCATCTGAAGGCTGCAGAAGGAGAGAGCATAGCAACTGGTCCTTTGGATAACAAGTTTCTCCCATTCTGCATCATCAAAAATGAATAGGATGGCTGGGCAGCTCTGAACTCCTGCCAGTACCCACTGAACTCTCCTTCAATTTTAAAACAATCACCTTTGTGCTCCATCGCACTCCCCTTTCTAGCATCTCAGAAACATCTGCAACCTGTTTTATTGCTGTTTTCCAAATCTCCTTAGTGCTCTGCCTTTTCCAGTGCCTGTATAACACAATGACAGTCACAGCTCTGCTGCACTGAGGGTCCTGACTATCACCTTAACTAACACAGTCACTTGCATTTACCATCTGCCTGCATCTGCCAGCTGTACCTTACACCCAAATGCAATCTCAGTGTGATGGCCATTTTTTATTTGACAAGTTCTCTAGCTAACAATAAGATGTGTCAGAGATACAACATTTTGGTATGTGAGCTGTATCATATCCAGCTTGTTGGGATGATGCCTTAAGATTTTAGCATTTACATTTTTCAAATCCCATACTGCAACAGTGCATAACTCTAAACTCCATATAAAGTGTAGAAACAGTATTAACTTTTTTGTTAGACAAAACAATCCCTCTGGGCCTGTGATCCAAGGACACACCACAGCCTCAGGCCCCAAAAGCATAAACAAAAGTGAGCTGGAGGGAGCGAGCTGGGGGAATATGACTCAATTACCTGAAGTTGTACTTAGAGAATTAACTCTTGATATGCAAATAGACCAAACTTGTAATTGTCTGAAAAACTCATGACCATGGTCCATCTTATATGTGGCCTCTGCAAGGCTTTTACGCTGTCCAAGGTGTATCTATTGAAGGCCTTTAATAAATTTTATTCTCTTAACTCTGTCTAGCCTCTGTTCTAGGTAGCCACTCCAAGGCATCAGGGACACAAGAAGAGAAAAAGTTAAACCATAACATCTTTTTAAGGCATGTAGGCAGAAATTTAGTGCAAGCAATTAGTTCCAAAGATGTAGAGCTAAAAGAAGTTTTGTAGTTCTAAACACTGGTTTATAAGAGTGATAATAAATATTCAGCATCCCTACATTTTCTGAACTTATTGAAACCAAAAGAATGAACACAACTAAACCCAGTGTTTCAAATACCAAAATCCTGTATTTCACAAACCAAATTTTGTAGCATAAGACTGTGCTACTCAAATGAATTCTACCCTTCATTCAGGATACATATAAATTTTCCTGAAAACTGACCCAGGACCCAGCCATACTACATATTCCT